TGTAAGTACTGTACATATACATATATCACATCTTTATCCATTCATCTGTGGATGGACATTTGGGCTGCTTCCACATCTTCGCTTTTGTAAATAATGCCGCAATAAACACATTTCAAATTTAGTGGGCTTTTTCTTTGGGTAAATACCCAGGAGTGGAATTACTAGATCACATGTTAGTTCTGTTTTTAGTTTTTTGAGGAACTTCCAAAAGTGTTTGCCACAGTGGCTGCACCAATTTACATCCCCACTAAAGGTGCACGAGGGTTCCTTTTTCTCCACATCTTCACCAACACTTGTTATTTCTTGTCTTTTTGATTCTAGCCATTCTGACTGGTACATGGTGATACCTCAGTGTGGCTTTGGTTTGCATTTCCCTGATGACGAGTGATGCAGAACACCTTTTCATGTGGCTGTTGGCACTGGGGTAAGCCTAGCCCTATTTTCCCCCCAAGAAGCCCTGTGGTTTCTGTTGTGTGATTTTTGCATCCTGTGGAGATTTCTAGGAAAACATACGTTGTATTATAACAGAACTGACTATATTAAGCGAGGTAATATACATATAATGGTAGGAACAGCGCCAGAGCTCAGCTGCGTTAGCCACCACCATCAGCAGCAGCAGCAGCATCCCATGCTTCACGGAGGCAGAGACCCAGCTTACAGGCCCTTGGGTAGCACTCAATGTCTCAGAATTGCCAATCATTCAATAAACATCTGTTTGACTGACAGGCCAACGATCACATTTGGCATTTCTTTGTAATGCTACCTTCAAGAGCTTTAAGGAGCAACACTAGGGACAAATCATCCATCCTCGGAAAGAAGACTCAGGAAGGGGGCATCCCCACTCATGTCCTGCAGGGGGAATGTTCAGGGCAGGGACGGGCCTTCCCTGTGCTCTCTCACCAGACCACCTTGCCTCCACTGCCCTGCCCCTCCCACCTTTAAGAAGTCAATGTGCTTGAGCATTTGGGCCACTCTCTCAGCATTCCTCCCTTCGTTGAGGAAATCCAGCTCCAAAGGCAGGTTCTTCTTGGCCTCGTCCACCAGCCACATGAATTCAAACTCTGGAAACAGCTGCTTCACAGCCAGGACGAGCACCTGAAATGCACCAAACACCCTGTCAGTCAGCCCACGGCACCCACCACAGAAGCTCGGGTCCCGGCCCTCCCGCCTGGGTCCAGGCAGAAACAGCTCCCCAGGCCTCCTCTGAAGTAAGGCCTCCCTGCTCCTCAGGGGCCCATCTCTGTAGTTCAAATCCAAGAGGATAAAAGCCCAACAGTTGCCAGCAGCCACGACTCCCATGTGCCAAGCCCTCCCCGCATGCCCAGTGCTGGGCTGAGCGCTTATATCGTGACTCCATTTGGTCTTCACAACTCTGGGGCATCAACCATATGCACTTATCCCCATTTTATAAACAAACAAGTCAAGGCTCTGAGAGTTTATAGGACTGTCCCAAATTCGCCCAGCAAGGAGGCACCGAGTCAGGACTCCACTTGAGTCGACCTCACCCCCAAACCCTCGCTCTTCCTCACTTACTGAACTGCTGCCTTCAGCCTTGGCTGCTCCCAGACTTGTCCCTCATGGTCCTGTTTACAAAGGGCAGGGAGGGTGCTGCAACTGTGTGGCATTTTGTTATTTCTTAAGCTGAGCAGTGGATACACGAGCATTTATAATGTGATTTTTTGTATACTTTTCCCTTGTCTAGAATATTTCTTGATAAAAAGTACACTGCAATAAGAAAACAAGGCTGGACAAGACAAGAGGAGTAAGAGACAAGGGATGTGACTACTAGGACAAAAAGCTCAGGTTTCTGGCAATTTGGCCACCTTTGGATTCTTGAGTGAGAACACGATGAAAAGTGGGATTTTAGTGGACTTACAGGGCATTTATCAGTTTAGTAATATGAAATTAAACAACCCTGGCAGAGAACAGGAGCCCAGTGATATCTGCAGAGTATGCCATGTCCCCTCCATGGTCTGGGACTCAGTTCTGAGGCTGCTGCACACTGGGGCTCTAGATTTAAGATGATCTAGAAAGTTCATGGATGATGGCTCTGCAGTAGGTGATGAGGGGGAGGCCAGGAACATGGGAGATGTTCCAGTATTCCCCAAGAGAAACACAGAAGGCAACTCTCCTGTTCTACTATAAGCCTTCCTGTCAGTGTTCAAAGTGATCAATCCTCCCAGAAATTCTTGACATGAATTATAGTCCAAGTTCTCTGAGAATACCCATCTCTACCCCATGGTTACACCAAACAGTAATGAGCAAGAATTAGAAAACCATGGGCCCATTGGTACCAAGAGACCTACCCCATCTTTTGTGGACTGAATGTTTGTATCCCTCTCCCCAATTTAATGTTGAAGTCCTAATCCCCAAGAGATGGTGTTTGGTGATGGAGCCTCAAGGAGGTAATTAGGTTTAGATGAGGTCATGAGGGCAGGGCCCCTATGATGGGATTAGTGCCTGATAAGAAGAGGAAGAGACAGAGCGCTCTTCCATGTGGGGACACAGAGAGAAAGTGGTTCTCTTCAAGCCAGAAAATCCTCACCAGGAACTAAATTAACCAGCACCTTGATCATAGACTTCCAACCTCCAGAACTATGAAAAATAAATGTTATTTAAGTCACCTAGTCTATAGTATTTTGTTATAGCAGCCTGAAAAGACTAAGACACCATCCCATCTATCCATAAGGACTCACTGAGCCCCAGCTATGAAGCTTGTCATATGCTTCCTTATGTCCTGGTCTGTATCCTGCCCAGCACGGTTATAGGTACACACAATACAAAAGAAAGAGATCTAAAGCAGGGCCATTAACTACAAGGCATTTACGGCTTTGTTTTTAAACCCTATGTCCCAGACGATGTACCAGATGCCATTCTAAAGGAATCACCACTCAGAGTTATTACACTCAATTCCTATCAAAACCCTTTTTAATTACATTCTGCTGCAGTCTAATTTCTTTTAAGTCTTGTCTAGTCTTTCATGAGCTAGACCTGTGACCTTATGATAATTGATTTAGTTTATGTTTTGTTTCTGTTTGAGTCACACAAAGCTAGGAAGGAGAGGTGGCAAGAATGAAGCCCATACTGCATGTGTCAGAGCCCAGCACAGGGAGCAGCAGTCCCCGGGGCATCGCCTCTCACTGTCATGCCCTCAGACAGCCCTCAGCTGCCACCAATGGGGAGGCAGAACCGGTGCACAGGAAACAGAAGCACTTGTCCAGGCCACACCTGTCAGCTGAAGCACCTGAATTCTACTCTCTGGGCTCCAAGTTCAGGGAGAAACCTCGTGGACATTTTGCTCCAGCCTAAGTTCCAGAAGTTCTCACCCAGGAGAGCCAAGGAAAGGAACCACAATGGGACTCAGTCATTTGTTTGATCAATATTTACTGATTACCTCCCAGGCAGTTACCCTGGGCCAGACATGGGCATACACAGGGAGCTACATGTACCCTAGTGGGGTCTCTATCTGGGGATGAAGCTTCTGGCCAAACCATAATCCTCATCATTTATTGTATGGTCACTGTTATTTGTGACATTTTAAACTATCATTAATATCCAAACAGCACTGAAAGGCATTTTAAAGATTTTTCTGTTACTAATCAATTATATAATTAGGCATTACTAGTACAATTGGTTATAAATACCTAATGTCATTAATCATAAAAGCAAAGACTTTATTGATTGATATTAATTGCTAATAGCTAATCAGTAAACCAACTCGTAATCCAAAAAACTTTACAGTACTCATAAAGCTGGTTTCTAAAGCATTGCATGCATAGTGGGTGAGTCACTCCCTTGGTTAACATAAAACAAGAGAGTCTATTTGAATGGAAGTTAGTGGCTCACAGCTTGATAAAAGGATACCATCCCCTTTAGAGTAAGTTTACCAACTTGAAAATGTGATGCTGGCTATGAAGCCCAGAAGATGGGCTTCATACATACTCACATAATTTTGTACATAATCGAGGGGAGTTACCAACCCCTTGAACTTCAAGGGGGTGGGGAGATGGGTCAGTCATCTGGTCCAAATCTAAAATGGCTTGGATTGCTGCCATTTTAGACTTTTCATGGCTGAGGAGAATAAAACAAAACAGTTTCACCTTCTGTTTTCATTCAATTTCTTTCCTAAGAGCCTGCCCTAAGTAGATTGGTTGAAGTTTTCCCTTTTTGACAACAGCTGCAGCCAACTAAAATAAAACAGGTGTTGTTATCAATTTGGCTTTTTTGAGTTTTCTCCCAAGATGTATCTTCTCCATAAAATTCTTCCAAAAGCCAATGTCTCCACCAGTGCCTAGCATGTTCTCAATACTCAGCAGATGTTTATTGAATATTCACGTGAATGAGTGAATAAATGAATGAACAAATGAACATTTCAAAGGGTTTGTCCTCTCCCCAGAGAATAATATGTTCACATGTGCGTTATTCAAATACATCAAATTTTTCTATTTCTGAGGTTTTGGTGGGAAGAGGGATTACCTCTGAATTTTCGGGTAAACACAATTTTGGAATGCCTGAGAATCTTCTACGTGATTTGAAACCTTATGAATCAATCGAGGTATGTTCAACCATTAATATTTCCTTCAAGGTGGAATAATGAAATTATTTTCCTATAGGGTCATTGGCTCACAGGAAGAAAAATCAATTGTGAGCCACACAGAAATATAATGGAAAAATTGAAAGTCACATCAAAGTTTGAAAACTACCGATTGCCATTTAAAACAACAAAAAAATGGAAATTATCATTATTTAGTGACTACCCCATGCCAGGCACTGTGCTACGAGGCACTTTCTATACATGCTCTCATTTAATCCTCTTCTTGCCCATTTTACAGAGAAAGAAGGCAGTTCCAGGAGGTTAAAGAATTTCTCAAGGTCACATAGCTTGTAATTTCAAATGTAGGACTTGGACCCAGGCTTTTTTCACTCTTTTCTTTATGCAGGCCTGACTCATGCAATACAATACAGGACAATACAATAGGAAGCTTGAGATAAGGCATAAAAAGAACTGTTGTGAACTGTTAAAACCAACTGAAATAAGAACGACTATTATTAAGTTATTATATCTTATAAAAGAAATAACGCTTTATGGGAAAACAGCACACTAAATAGAACGCCTGCACGGATCTGAACTGGTAAAAAATGCATGTTCGACAAGGATCGAAAATCAATTCCGAGTGATGTAAATAGCTTGCCATTCACAGGGTTTATCTTTGTTCTGATAAGTTATTAAAGTGCACAGTTTTTAGAAAAGAGAATGATAGGGTGAAGAGAAGTTTCCATGGGATAGTCTATCTCTGGGGGTTTTTTAATGTATTTTATAGAAAATAAAATCAGCTATTGGGAGTCTGTGCCAACACAAACATTACCTAGCCACCCACTGTTCAATCAACACATTCAGAAAAGAAACAAGATGACAGACAGCATGCACTGAAAATGTTGTTCAAAAAAAGTCAAAAACATGACTGTCACGGGTCTTTATTTTTAGAGGCCCTTGGGATGGGCCAGAGGATATCAAACAGTGGATTCTGGCGCTCAGACCAGAGTCCCACCCCTGTGTGGCACAGCACCTTGGGGACAGGACTTAGACTCTTTAGAGAGTGACAGAGCACGAGAGTATTCATCATCAGTTTCAGAAGCTTACGAGACAACAGGGGGTGATACGGGGTGCTGCTACTGGGACCTGGGTATTATGGTTTTATCACCAGCTCACACGTCCTCTGAGTCCTGCCGTGTCTCTAACAGTGAGAACGGCAGTGAGGTCCAGCCTGCTCAGCTCCCTGCTCCTGTGGGTGGCCAAGAGCTGCTGCAAAGCCAGCCGGCCAGCAGCCGAACAGACTCGGCCGTGTCAGTTCACCCCTTCCTGCTGAATCATTGTTCCAATCTCTGGGCCCAATGAGTCTGGCTCTGGACAGCCACTCAAATCAATAAGAGTCACTGGCCGTGCATCTAGAAGTAGAGGTGCCCCAACTATTAAAGGGACAATATCAGGTGATAATGACAAAGCTGAAAAACACCCTTGGCTGTGCCTTTGTCTTTTGTGCAAAGTCACCAACACCATCAGGTTCATCAAACACCATTTACTGAGAGTCGGCTTC